ACACGTAATAATTAAAAAACGAGAAACGAAACGAAAATAAAACGATAAACTCCGGGGTGTGGGTACTGGAAAAATTAGACGTAAATAAAAACAGAGATAACTAATAACAGAAAAGAAGTAACGGTAAAAAGGGAAAGGAAATGAAAAGGAAAAAACAAAAGGTCAAAATAAGAAAGTTCGGAAAAATGACAAATTTAAAAAAAAGAGAGACAAAAATAGGTAAATAATTAAATCAAAAAACTTAACTAAATAAGGCAGTCCAAAAGGTAGAAAAAATAGTCCTTCGAATGACAGCAAAAATGTCTAACACCGGTCAGGAGCAAAAACGGTGTAAAAGCAAAACAAGTACACCGAGTTCGCTAGACTGAGATATTCAGTCACCCACCCACGAGGGTGTCATGCGGCACAAGGCCTTTTTTAATGTGGGCATTCCCGAGCCATTAGGCTCAGCCAAAAAATAGCCCATTTGAACCCGTATAAACGGGTTCAGGGCCGGTTTAACCTCCCCGAAGGAGACTTCGCCCTTCGGCGTAGCCTCCTTCGGGTTCCTCTCCGTCCGGAGACAGAGAGTTGAACCGTGCAGTCGCTCAAAAAGTGAGCTGGACTGAGATATTCAGTCACCCACCCACGAGGGTGTCATGCGGCACAAGGCCTTTTTTAATGTGGGCATTCCCGAGCCATTAGGCTCAGCCAAAAAAAATAGCCCATTTGAACCCGTATAAACGGGTTCAGGGCCAATTTTAACCTCCCCAAAGGAGACTTCGCCCTTCGGCGTAGCCTCCTTCAGGTTCCTCTCCGTCCGGAGACAGAGAGTTGAACCGTGCAGTCGCTCAAAAAGTGAGCTAGACTGAGATATTCAGTCACCCACCCACGAGGGTGTCATGCGGCACAAGGCCTTTTTAATGTGGGCATTCCCGAGCCATTAGGCTCAGCCAAAAAATAGCCCATTTGAACCCGTATAAACGGGTTCAGGGCCGAGTTTAACCTCCCGAAGGAGACTTCGCCCTTCGGCGTAGCCTCCTTCGGGTTCCTCCCCGTCCGGAGACAGAGAGTTGAACCGTGCAGTCGCTCAAAAAGTGAGCTGGACTGAGATATTCAGTCACCCACCCACGAGGGTGTCATGCGGCACAAGGCCTTTTTTATGTGGGCATTCCCGAGCCATTAGGCTCAGCCAAAAAAATAGCCCATTTGAACCCGTATAAACGGGTTCAGGGCCGGTTTAACCTCCCGAAGGAGACTTCGCCCTTCGGCGTAGCCTCCTTCGGGTTCCTCTCCGTCCGGAGACAGAGAGTTGAACCGAACAGTCGCTCAAAAAGTGAGCTGGACTGAGATATTCAGTCACCCACCCACGAGGGTGTCATGCGGCACAAGGCCTTTTTTTAATGTGGGCATTCCCGAGCCATTAGGCTCAGCCAAAAAATAGCCCATTTGAACCCGTATAAACGGGTTCAGGGCCGAGTTAACCTCCCCGAAGGAGACTTCGCCCTTCGGCGTAGCCTCCTTCGGGTTCCTCTCCGTCCGGAGACAGAGAGAGTTGAACCGTGCAGTCGCTCAAAAAGTGAGCTGACTGAGATATTCAGTCACCCACCCACGAGGGTGTCATGCGGCACAAGGCCTTTTTAATGTGGGCATTCCCGAGCCATTAGGCTCAGCCAAAAAATAGCCCATTTGAACCCGTATAAACGGGTTCAGGGCCAATTTAACCTCCCCGAAGGAGACTTCGCCCTTCGGCGTAGCCTCCTTCGGGTTCCTCTCCGTCCGGAGACAGAGAGTTGAACCGTGCAGTCGCTCAAAAAGTGAGCTGGACTGAGATATTCAGTCACCCACCCACGAGGGTGTCATGCGGCACAAGGCCTTTTTTAATGTGGGCATTCCCGAGCCATTAGGCTCAGCCAAAAAATAGCCCATTTGAACCCGTATAAACGGGTTCAGGGCCGAATTTAACCTCCCGAAGGAGACTTCGCCCTTCGGCGTAGCCTCCTTCGGGTTCCTCTCCGTCCGGAGACAGAGAGTTGAACCGTGCAGTCGCTCAAAAAGTGAGCTGGACTGAGATATTCAGTCACCCACCCACGAGGGTGTCATGCGGCACAAGGCCTTTTTTAATGTGGGCATTCCCGAGCCATTAGGCTCAGCCAAAAATAGCCCATTTGAACCCGTATAAACGGGTTCAGGGCCGAGTTTAACCTCCCGAAGGAGACTTCGCCCTTCGGCGTAGCCTCCTTCGGGTTCCTCTCCGTCCGGAGACAGAGAGTTGAACCGTGCAGTCGCTCAAAAAGTGAGCTGGACTGAGATATTCAGTCACCCACCCACGAGGGTGTCATGCGGCACAAGGCCTTTTTTAATGTGGGCATTCCCGAGCCATTAGGCTCAGCCAAAAAACCCGTATAAACGCCCATTTGAACCCGTATAAACGGGTTCAGGGCCGTGCAGTCGCTCAGCGACCTCCCCACAAGGAGATTCCCGAGCCATTAGGCTCAGCCAAAAATAGCGCCCGTTCGGCGTAGCCTCCCCCCGAAGGAGACTTCGCCCTTCGGGTTCCTCTTCCGTCCGGAGACAGAGTTGAAACCGTGCAGTCGCTCAAAAAGTGAGCTGGACTGAGATATTCAGTCACCCACCCACGAGGGTGTCATGCGGCACAAGGCCTTTTTAATGTGGGCATTCCCGAGCCATTAGGCTCAGCCAAAAAATAGCCCATTTGAACCCGTATAAACGGGTTCAGGGCCAGAGCTTAACCTCCCCTTCGAAGGAGACTTCGCCCTTCGGCGTAGCCTCCTTCGGGTTCCTCTCGTCCGGAGACAGAGAGTTGAACCGTGCAGTCGCTCAAAAAGTGAGCTGACTGAGATATTCAGTCACCCACCCACGAGGGTGTCATGCGGCACAAGGCCTTTTTTTAATGTGGGCATTCCCGAGCCATTAGGCTCAGCCAAAAAATAGCCCATTTGAACCCGTATAAACGGGTTCAGGGCCGATTTAACCTCCCGAAGGAGACTTCGCCCTTCGGCGTAGCCTCCTTCGGGTTCCTCTCCGTCCGGAGACAGAGAGTTGAACCGTGCAGTCGCTCAAAAAGTGAGCTGGACTGAGATATTCAGTCACCCACCCACGAGGGTGTCATGCGGCACAAGGCCTTTTTTAATGTGGGCATTCCCGAGCCATTAGGCTCAGCCAAAAAAAAAATAGCCCATTTGAACCCGTATAAACGGGTTCAGGGCCGGTTTAACCTCCCGAAGGAGACTTCGCCCTTCGGCGTAGCCTCCTTCGGGTTCCTCGCCGTCCGGAGACAGAGAGTTGAACCGTGCAGTCGCTCAAAAAGTGAGCTGGACTGAGATATTCAGTCACCCACCCACGAGGGTGTCATGCGGCACAAGGCCTTTTTTAATGTGGGCATTCCCGAGCCATTAGGCTCAGCCAAAAAATAGCCCATTTGAACCCGTATAAACGGGTTCAGGGCCGAGCTAACCTCCCGAAGGAGACTTCGCCCTTCGGCGTAGCCTCCTTCGGGTTCCTCTCCGTCCGGAGACAGAGAGTTGAACCGTGCAGTCGCTCAAAAAGTGAGCTGGACTGAGATATTCAGTCACCCACCCACGAGGGTGTCATGCGGCACAAGGCCTTTTTTAATGTGGGCATTCCCGAGCCATTAGGCTCAGCCAAAAATAGCCCATTTGAACCCGTATAAACGGGTTCAGGGCCGAGCCATTTAACCTCCCCGAAGGAGACTTCGCCCTTCGGCGTAGCCTCCTTCGGGTTCCTCTCCGTCCGGAGACAGAGAGTTGAACCGTGCAGTCGCTCAAAAAAGTGAGCTGGACTGAGATATTCAGTCACCCACCCACGAGGGTGTCATGCGGCACAAGGCCTTTTTTTAATGTGGGCATTCCCGAGCCATTAGGCTCAGCCAAAAAATAGCCCATTTGAACCCGTATAAACGGGTTCAGGGCCGGTTAACCTCCCGAAGGAGACTTCGCCCTTCGGCGTAGCCTCCTTCGGGTTCCTCTCCGTCCGGAGACAGAGAGTTGAACCGTGCAGTCGCTCAAAAAGTGAGCTGGACTGAGATATTCAGTCACCCACCCACGAGGGTGTCATGCGGCACAAGGCCTTTTTAATGTGGGCATTCCCGAGCCATTAGGCTCAGCCAAAAAATAGCCCATTTGAACCCGTATAAACGGGTTCAGGGCCGAGCGAACCTCCCGAAGGAGACTTCGCCCTTCGGCGTAGCCTCCTTCGGGTTCCTCCAAATCCGGAGACAGAGAGTTGAACCGTGCAGTCGCTCAAAAAGTGAGCTGGACTGACTGACTGGGGTTGTCTTTTTCTCCTTTTTATAACCTTTTGGGTTTTCGAAAGTGGCTCAAGATATTTTGGCGCAATTCTTGCTTTGGGAGGCGATCTACCAATAGAATTGCTTGATTCGATTCTTTGCATTTTTATTGGTTGAGCGTTATCTGCGCGTAGGCGTATAATATGGATTATGCTTTTTTAAAGGTTGGAGAAGGTTAGAAAATTAGAAGAGTCCACAAGATCGCTAAAAAAATAAGAGAATAGCATGCCAAACTTGAAAACAAATTTCTCGTCTAAAAATGTTTATTAGTTTATTTATTGAGAGGAAAGATCAAAGTTATTTTTTTTTTTTTAGAGTAAGGAGGTTAATTTAGAAATTTCACGAAATTATGCCTCCGTAGAATAACCGATTATTTAAAATCTTTGTTTAAAGTTTAGGGCTATTTTTTCTGTGAATTAGTGGAGGTACCTATTCAAAATGATTTTTATCACTGAAATCGAATCAGACATTTTTTTTTACATTTACGGAGAGAGAAAAAAAAAAGTAATAAGAAAAAGTTTGTGACTGTCTCTAAATATGAATTCGGCTAAAAAAAATCCAGGCGAAAATAAAAACAAGAATTCTCGTATTTATCAAATTTCGATTATTTGGAAATCGATATAAAAATTCTGACTTACACTTGAATGAAATTATTTTTTTCCTAAAACTTTACGAGAGCAAAAATACAACATCATTTCCTTCGTGTTGTTTCTCGCAAAATGAATTGAGCGGGAAAGCGCTGTGACGTCATAAGGCATTTCATGGATGGCGGGCTTTTTCTTTCGATAAGAAGAGAAGGAAAATATGAAGGGGAGGAAGGAGGAATAAAAAGAGAGAAGAAAGGCTAAGAAAACGTGAGAAGAAAAAGGAAAATTTATATGAAAGATTCGGCAGTCATCGTCTTTTTTTTCTTTCTTTTCAAAAAGACTTTTAAATAAATAAACTTCAAATGTGATAAATTTTAATATAATCGGATTTAATTCCATCAAATAAATTAAAAAGTTTGAATTTATATAAAAGTTTGTTTCATAATTTATTTCATTTAAAGTGTTTTCATGTGTTTTATTTGTTAGAATCCATTTAATTTTCTTTTTCTAAAGAAAAAAAATTCAATAAAATATTTAGGCTCACGAAGATAACGTTTCGACCGTTGTACGCTCCGGTCTTCTTTAGGTGGTTGGAATGTCGACCTGAACTCTTTATTTCACTCACTGGGGTAGACTGTTTTAGTTCTCAGTTATCTCCTGTAAAAATCCCCTCTCCAAGTTCTCCATTACTTGGATACCGGTATTGAACTCTCACTCTTTGGGTCTTGTCTCTAACCAACGTCTTTATCCACCGTGCCATGTGTTCTTGAGGACATCTGTGTATGAATTTCTGGGTATTAAAACTAATGTCATCAGCCACAGTTTTTTACCAGTGCTCATATTGCAATTTTTGCCGATATTGTCACTTTTCTCGGTCACTCCTTATTACTGGTTCCCATATTGTATTCATTTCTATGCTTGGTCGATTCAAGAGATTTGTAGAGGGGCCGCGGCTGTTATGTTGTTGATAGAAGTCAGACGTTGAAGAAACGCATGTAAAGTTCAGATACTCCTGCCCGCCGGGCCCAACTACATAAAAAGGTTGGACTTTGATTAAGTCCAAAGAAGAAGGCAAAGAAAGCAAACAAAATACAAGACCGATAATATATGTATATACAAATATATATTAATAACAAGTTACAATACATGGAAACAGTACAAAAGACGAAGTGTGTGTGAATATTCTGTATGTGCGTGCGTGTGTGTGTATTGTGCTTAGCGTGTTTCCACGCTATCCCTTGTTAGCGCCTACATTTCGAGGTTGATAGCTGAAATCCTGAAGGAAAAAGAGATAGAGGTGAAGGGTCAGCGGCTATTTATAGCCAGGGAAGAGAGACCCCTGGTGAAAGGGTTAACGAACTGAAGGAGTTAACTCCGACCTATTTTTGTGGCCTAAATAAATAAATAATAGGGGGTTCAGTTAGGCATTCCAAACATCTGAAGAAGACCGGAGCGTACAACGGCCGAAACGCTGTGGTAAATAAATATGGCGACAAAGATGAAGACAATATTCCGAATAATGTAAATAGTGTACATAATACCTCATCTCAGAAATATAGACAGATACTCAAAGATAAATTCAGAAAGATTTGTTTGATGTAAAATTTACATTGTAGATGACAAAAGTAAAATAAAATGAATCCAAATCAATGGAAATACAAAACGGAATTCATTGTAAGTAGAATGAAAATGTCGATGAATACAAATGAAATCCGCACGTATATTCTCGTTTAATTTAAAACTAAGAAGGTATTTTTTTGTCATCTTTATCACCACAAGCAAGGCAGTACAGCCCCTAAACGTGTAACGAGCATGCGCGGGAGCGTCCTCGAACTGCGTGTGTGTGTTTTCGCCAGGCACACATAAAGTACCATAATGGACTCGACCGAGGACTACAAGAAGAAAACGCTCGAGTCGTTTGGTGCTTCTTGGGGGGGGGGGCGACAAAAGTAGTTGCGGTCGGTCGTCCGTTTGCTCGTTCGGAAGAGTCGTGCGTTCATTTCAGGTTCACAGGGAGGAGGTTTTTTTTCTCTCTCCTAATTCCCGATTTCTCACAGCCCCTAAAAGCAAGGGGTTACAGGGTGTAAAGGAATTAGGAACAGAAACATAGAAATAAATAAAAAGACTAAAAAGATAAAAGAGCAATCAAGAGGACAGTAGTGAGTATCGTAACGACATGATACTCTTTGTTATTTATTTTTTAGTATTGCGCTGAAATTCATAGTCTAGATACCATATTGAAGAGCTCATTCGAACAATTACCATGGAAGTATTTATAAAAATAAAATGTACAGAGAGGCTGTTGCCGACTTCACCACATTAATTTAACTTTAGATTAGTAAACAAAGCTGACGCAGAAAAGGATAAGCAAAAGACATTTTTTCACATAAAATTTATATTTAACAAGATGTACAATATCAAACAACGATGTGAAAGAAAGCATGCATTTAAGTAAGAAAAGGTTGAAATAAACAAGAGGGGGATTTCAGTGAAGGGTCATAGGTGGTGATTCTGCAAGACAATGTAGGATTAATTTTGCTGCACGTCTTAAGATTAAAAGACAAGGATGTCATCAGTTTATCAAGGCTTATAAATTTGAAAACGTTCATGAATATTCATCAAGTGGTTGCAACGTCAGTTAAAACATATGGAGGCCAAAAAGTGTCATAATTCAAAGTCTGTTAAAAAGTAAAGTGAGAGTTGTTGAAAATTGCACCCTTTGTAGATATTAAACAAAATTAATAAATAAGGGATTAGCTATTTCCCTTGGATCTTTGTTTCTTTCAAGTTGTAGAGGGTGCATGGACCATTTTGTTATCCACACTCGCCTTTTTTTCTCCAGAGAAGAGAGCCATGTTGAATAAATAGATTATCGTGCTCTAAAATCATAACGATATCTTGTTTGTTATTGCTTCTCGTATGGATGTTGTTTGTTCTGTCATCACCAAAAATTAAGGTAGGACGTTTTTCATTCATTCATTTTATTATAATGTTGCGTTTCCACTATTTTTTCTTCAACAAGAAGAGTAATTTTCAATAATTTTGACATCCTCGTCTATTTGGAATTTCTGTCTCAAAAATACCGAATCTTTTCTTATAGATATTCTTCACCAGCTCCACAATCATTCTCCATTTCCTTGACTATCTTAGAATTTAATTTGAGAACAATATTTTACAAGTTCACATTCTCGCTATTTTTTCTATCCTCATTCCAACCTTCCTTTCTTTCAAATCCGGCTTCCAAAGCCTTGCTTCTTATTTTCTGACTAATGAGGGAGCTGGAAAAATATAAAAAGGAATTCAACCACCATTATTCTTTCCATGGTGCCATAAAGTCTGATCTCACAGCTTGGTTACTCCAACCTGTTTTCATTACTTTCAAAACCAACTCCCAGAACCCTGATTTTCTTACCAATGAAGGGGCCAGGAAAATTGTTTAACAATTTTGGAAGGAAAAGTCCCCGATTCTTCTAAGCCTACCAAATCTCCATAAATTTGGGAGAATTTTTGCCTATTTTGCAGTGAGACAACAGCCCACTGTCTGTAATGTCGACGATAGGGAGCACCAGTCAACTTCAGAATCATTTTCAACCAAAGAAGAAATTCCTGCCGGGATGGAGAGACAGACCATCAGCCCACTACTAAAATCCAATTGAAAGCTGCATCCCTTAACCACTCCTTCTGCCGTGACTACTTGACTTCTGTCGTCGACCTACGAATTCACTCAACTGCAAGATTTTTATATCTACAAACAATTTACCTACTCTACAAGAACTGAGTGTTTCTAAACCATAACAAAATTCTAATCGCTTAAAGAACTTTTTAGTCTCTCAGAAAAATATTTTGAGCAAGGCTTTTTTTTCTGTTATGAGCATTCTCTCTTCCTTTAAAGGACATTTTCTTCTCCCTTTCTTTCTCTAGTAATTGTCTTTTTATCCATTGACCCCTTTTTTCTGTATATGTAAATAAACACTTTCTTTTATTGTTACACACCGAGCAGGAGTTTTTTTTTCTTTATCCGTCCGCGCCTAAAAGAGAGACCTTGGACATGGGGACAGATTTCCCAGCATTTTCTTTAAAATTATTTATTTCGGAACGAAGAATGAAAAATATGGGAAAAAAAAAATCTATTTATTTGAATAAACTTATTGTTATCTGACGCAAAAGCGTTTAAGGATAAATTTCTGAAATTCATCAGCAAAAATAAATTTCATTTATATAGATTAAAAAAATAAAAAAAAAATTAAAAATCAATTATAATCGATTTGTTATTTTTTTTATTCCCATTTCAAAATTCAATCAATTTTGTTTCCGCATTTGTTAACAATAGATGGTTGTAGAAAAAGTGGAAATTTTTTTTTGTTACATAATTCGTCATGACTCATTATGAAACTGATCATTTTTTTTTTTCATTCACCTGAACTCATATTGTGAAATCGTTGAGAACTTTGATGAAAATTAAAAATACAATCAAAATCTTATTCACATAAAAATAGAAATTTATTCAAAATAATTCTTATGGGTAAGTATATATTTTTTTTTTTTTTTTAATTAATTCTGAAAATTTTCATTACATATAGTCCGTCGTTTTCAAAACAAACAAACAATTTTTTTCGAGAAACAAAAATCCTCGAAATACTTTCAGTTTCTTTCGGGAATTTGTACAGAATTTTTTTTGGTAAAACAGAGAAAATTGCTGTTTCGGTAGAAAAATAAAAATGTCCGAACCCATCGTCACACAAATCGAGAATTGCTTCTTCAGTTTCCACCGTTTGAAGAACTTGTCCATTTTTATTGAAGACAAAATTTTCAACATTCCTCGACGTGTCCCCAACAAATTCCCTGTCGTAGGATCAGCACAAAGGAGGGGGTCACATTGAGAAAACGGCAAAGGCCACTCACCAATTTCAATTGTTTTGACTTCCTTTCCTTCTTTCGAAAAACAAACAATTTCTTTAAAACTCAAATCACAAGCGAAAATTTGTTCGTCCATTTGACACATACAACAAAAATCCTTTTTGGTGGTAATAAATTTTTTTTTCTCTAAAAATGGTGGAACTTTTTTTCGCGTCAAAAACAAAAGTCCTCCCTCCCGCAAAATACCACATAGAACCAAAGTGTCATTGGAGAGTCGACAAATGTCGAAGGGTGCGAAATTCTCTTCTTCGTTCTCAATAGAACATCGACTGACGACTCTTCCAAACTCTGTGAATTCCTTGACCGTTCCATCGCCATCATCAACAGCAAAGAGACGACCGTCTTTATCACTGCTGGTAATCATAGAAATCCCCATGTCTGAACATGGCAGATAACATTCACTTTGCAGCTCCAAACTCCTTGTAGGCCATGTCCCTACCGTGAAGTCCACGATTTCTTTTTGAAGTTGGTTCAATGATCGTTGGCACCATTCTGGAAAGGTCACCACGAAATGACCTCCTTCAACAGGATCGAACGATTCTTGGAGCCGAGATGAAAGCTTCGCTTCCACTGAATGCAAACCAAAAACAACATCCTTGTTGTCGTTCCCGGCGCTTAACAAATGGAGCAAATCATTGTGCCACATTCCCGCTTCCTTCAAAAGGTCTTCTTTCTCCCGGAGGGAAAAGCGCCATTTTATCTGTTGTTCACTAGTTTTTCGCCTCATGTCGTCGCACAGCTCTTCTGCCTTCAACTGTGTCTCTTTCATAAACGCATTAAATTCTCGCCAGACTCTTGAGCACTTCAGTTCGCAATCGATTGACAATTGCTCAATCGATTGGTTCATCCGTTCAGCCATTTCACGGAGCTGCCTTTCAAAATCTTCGACTTTATTTTCCAGGCGGTTTTTCGCTTCCAATAACTCATTCCTGAAAGGAGACGGAGCCATTTGCAGATTTCTTTTCAGGCGGGACAAAAAGCGATCTGAAAAGGGGGGAAAAAAAAAGAAAGAAAAAAGTCACTTTTTTTTTTTTATTAAAACAAAACATGTCACTGGATCTATCTAAAGTATGTGGCGCAGTTCAATTTATATTACATGAATCATTCATACAAAAAGCAGATAGTGAAGTTAATGAGAAAGCCTTATAAAAGCCTTATAAAAAATTGACCTGAAAAAGAGAGAATTTAGAAATTTTTAAAAAAAGAGAAATTGATTCCCTGAAAAGAGAGAAGAGAGAAAGAAAAGAGAGAGAGAGAAAAGAAAAGAGAGAGAGAGAGAGAGAGAGAGAAAGAGAAGAGAGAGAGAGAGAGAGAGAGAGAAAAGAAAAGAAAAGAGAGAGAGAGAGAGAGAAAAGAAAGAGAAAGAGAGAGAGAGAAAAAAAGAGAGAGAGAGAGAGAAAGAGAGAGAGAGAGAAAGAAAAAAGAGAGAGAGAGAGAGAGAGAGAGAGAGAAAAAAGAGAGAGAGAGAAAAGAAAAAAAGAGAGAGAGAGAGAAAAGAGAGAGAGAAAGAGAGAGAGAAGAAAAGAGAGAGAGAAAAAGAGAGAGAGAAGAAAAGAGAGAGAAAAAAGAGAGAGAAGAAAAGAGAGAAGAGAGAGAGAAGAGAAGAGAGAGAGAGAGAGAAGAAAAGAGAGAGAGAGAGAGAGAAAGAGAGAGAGAGAGAGAGAAGAAAAGAGAGAGAGAGAGAGAAGTTTGCTGACTTCACGAACACATTTAGCATTTCTTAAACAAATTAAAAAAAAAACGAATTTTATAATCAAGATATTCATTATTATGAAGAGCTAGCAGCATGGCCCGGCGTTGCCCGTGCTTGATTCAAAAATCGTACGACTCATACAGCAATCGCTATCACTTGACTTAAAATATTTTTGCCCTTCCTTGCCTTTAAAGGAGTGCCCTTTGCCGTGTTGATGTTATTACATGCCTTACTTCTTGCCTATCTCACACTGCGAATGTTTTCTAAGTGCTATACTAAACATTAAATCTGTTACGAAAAAAAACTAAACAAAATGAACACAAAATGATCAGCTTTAAAAAAGGACTCGTAACTGGAAAAACCAAATGAAAAAAGAATGTTAAATACTTTTTTCACATCCAACCCAATTCTGCGGAATCAGCAGAATCAACGTTGAGTTTAAGCAAGCGAATGAGCCAATTGGAGTAAAGTGCCATGCAGATTTAAATTTTCCCCACTTGTGACGAATGCAGCTATCGATTTTTTTTTTTGCTAGCATGTTAGTTAACATTCGTTCACATTCGTTGGCTCTCACGCTGGCCAATAGAATCTTCCTGTTTCGGCTCTCACTCTGGCCAGTAGAAAATGGCCGCAAACTACATGAAAACTGCCGTAGAAGCATGAAAAAATTGATTATTTCCATTATCGATGGGAGTTGGGAAATGCAAAGTCGGTCTTGGCCTTCCCGCTAACTTGGAGCATGTGCATGTAAATTTTGGTGCAAGTCCGTCGAAAATTGCGGCCATGCATTCGTTACACACACACACACACACACCCTGCCTTTTATTAGATAGCATTTGCCATTAAGAAATAAAATTAACTTTGTGTGACAAAATTCTCAAAGACATTTTTTTAATGAATTTTGCTGTTAAAAGAAAAAAAAAGGAAAAAGAAAAAACGATAATGTTGACAGGCAATGTCGTCTCTTTTACATTTGTAGTATATTTTCAAGAATAGTTGTAAAATCTTAAATTTGTCATTAAATTTAATTTTGGCCATTAACTTTGTAATAAATTATTTAGTTCTCATTTTCATTTTTCATTAATACACTGAAAAAGGATTACATTTTTATTCTTTAATATCTTCTATTTATTTACCAAGACAGAAAAATGAAGACATTCAAAAAAAAAAAAAAAATATAGATTTTATTTTCAGGTAGTAGTTTGGAAAAAAAAAAAAAAAAAATGTTCATGTAAATTCTCCAAGGAGTCTGGGTTTTAACAAAAAAAATAATTAAATAAAAATTGGAGTACAGAATTTAATTTCTCGAAATGTCATGAAATTAAGTGGGAGGTAACAGGTGTAAAAAAATAAAAGAAAAAAAAATTATGTATTTTCTAAGATTTTCTAAAAAATAATAATTTAAAAAATAAATTAATTCATTTGTGAATAAATCCTGAAAGTTTAATTAAAATTCAACAATTAAGAGTTTTGCAAGAATTTTTAAATCAATGTGTCATTTTAAAACGGTAAAAATGGCGCGAAAAGGTCAAGTAACAGTATTACTTTTGTTTGTACCGTTGACGCATAAAAAAATACAAAACTTGAACGTGTTAAGAATAAAAAAATAATTAGAATAATTAAAAAAAAATATGTTGGTCTTTCCTCTTAATAAACATTTTGACGATAAAACTTTGTTTTCATTAGATTTGGGACCTTTTTTCTGTGACATCTTTTTAAGTTCGTTTCTAAAGTTTGTCGTTAAGAATTCGGTTAAAAAAAGTGAAAATAAAATCAGGAATTTTCGTTGTTTTGATGAAAACATTTCGATTATTTGGAAATGGATATGAAAATTCTGACTTACATTTGATTTTGTTCCGATTTCACTTGAGTTTCGTTAGTTTTCTCTTCAAATTACGGAGACCAAAAAATGACGTCTTTTTCCTTTGTGTTGTTTCTCGCAAAATAAAGTGAGGGGAAAGATACGTGACGTTATAAAAAATGAAGGCATTTCATTGGACGAGAATAATCACACCCACTTTTTTCCCTGGCATACGTTTCCTTAGAATAACAAGGAGGGAAAAAATTAATCTAAAGAAGGAAGATGAAGAGGAATAAGAAAAGAGAAGAAAAGGTTTAATGAAAGAGAGATATATAGATATATATATAGAAAAGAGAATAATAAGAAGAGAGAAAGAGAGGAGGAAAGTTGGTGTATAAATTAGTTTAATATTTTTTTAAAAATGATTTTCTTTTTTATAAATACATGTTCAAATGTGATAAATATTAATAAAATCGAATTTAATTCCATCAAATATCATGTTATGTAAATAAAATGAAATTTTGAAAAGTAACGAAAGTTTATTTCATAACCGATTAATAATAAGTAAACTATGAAATAAACTTTTAAATATTCCTTTTGTTCGTAAAAAAAAATGATGAAAAAAGCCCCAAAAAAAATGACGAAAAACAAAATTTTTATTGTCATAATGTTCATATTATTAAGAATGGAATATTTTTTAAATTAAAGGTTTTTTTTTTACTAATAATCTAACATGTTCGAAATTTTGTTTAAATTTTGTTTTTTATATATCCAACTTTTTAACGGAATTCTAATGGACATTTTCGCTCTTGTTTTCCGGTGGGTAAACACATTAAATTGAAAAGGCTTAAAAAATCCTGTAATTGTTGGATTTTAATGATATTTTCTGCAGGACTTATTCACAAATGAATAGATTTATTTTTTCAATTATTATTTTCTCAAAATCTTGGTAAATTTTTTCTGTTACCACCCATTCACTTATGTTTTCATGAAATTTTAAAAACTATTTCGGCATAAATTTTCGATACCTAAAAGTTTAAAATTAATTTTTTAAAATGAAAAAAACATTCTTAAAGATTTCATTTTAACTTTAATTGAAAGCTAAACGATTAAATTTATTATTTCCAGTAAGTAAAATATTCTGGTGTATTTCAGTATTGTAGTGGTATTGATTGCAATATCAAATTTAATTCACATTTCTTAAAATTTTCTTAAAAGCGGCCATTTTCTTAATTTTAAGAAATTTGTAAACAAAAAAAAAATAACGATTTTAAAATTAAAAAAAAATTCTGATATGTTATTTGAGTAAAATTAGAAAATTTAAAGTTAAATTAATCTGATTTGAAATAAATATTACTTACTTATAGCATAAAAAAGTAATATACAACCATTTTGATTGTTCCTGTTTTTTTTTTTGAGGAGAAATTTTTGGCCGATAAGTGACGAAGAGATAAATTAAGGATTAAAAGACTTGATACAAAATGAATTTTTATATTTTTAAAATTTTAATTATAATTTATAATTGTTTAAAATCGTGTAAAATTCTGTATTGAGCTATTTCCTGGAAGTGATGTGTGGGGTTTGGCGTACCCGGATTAAAGGAGAATTTAATACGGGATACCCTGCCCACAAAATACAATGCAAATTTCAAGAAGAAACAACACGATAATTTAAATGACGTTTATTTTTTCAGTAGAACATTGTATATTTATTATCTTTTAAATAGGGTAAAAAAAGATTAATGCTTTAGTTCGTTTAAGCAAAAATGTGATTTTGAGGAAAATGTCTGTGTTCGCTGTCTTTTAACAGAGCAGCAGGGTAATGTCTGTTTCTTTTGTTTTTTGTATAGTTGTAAAATGAAAAAAAGGGCGAGCAATTTAACAGAAAAAAAAGAGTTTGAATTTAGATTCTTCTTTTCTTCTTCTTCCTCTTCTTCTTCCTCTTCTTCCTCTTCTTCTTTTCCTCTTTCTTCTTAAAGTCTTCTTCTTCTTCTTCTTTAATCCAATTTTCGGTTGAAAAATTAGTGATGGAATTTACTGTCAATCTTCTGTGATCTTTTGCGCCCTTCTCTGACTGACTGGCGACTGACTTGAAAACTCTGTATTTATTGTTGATTTTTTTTCACACTGGCTCGTTATCTTTTTTTTTTGGTTTAGCAAATCGCTTTCTTTCATTGGTCAGAAAATTAATTTACACCTTATTGTGAAATTTGTTTTTTAAAAATTTTGATCCGATTTTGCGGGTTTTGAATCTACTTTGTGTTTTTTTTCAGTCATTTGTTGGAATATAGGATTTGTATCAAATGGAAACGGAATTTACGAATCTAAAATTGAAAAGATTAATAAACGTAGTTACGCTAGTCTATTTTTAAATATTTATTTATTTATTTTACTTAATTTGTTTTTATTTTCATCTATTTAAAATCTAAATGTGACATTATTTTGAAACGGTCACG